TGCCCATTCCACCAGTAGAATATATAAAACATATATGAGCTCTAAACTTCCCTGGGTAATTCACTGCGCAAAGCAGTTCCACTGCTAAAATCCTTATTGCTGGTGATCTCTGTGAACAGGCCTTGGAAGAAACAAAAGTGGCTTTTATCTACAAACATAACTTCATTTCAGCTACTTACCTGGATATTCCACTAGCATTCGTAATATCTTTTTTGTGTCAGCCATGCAAAGCACAAAGTCTCCAACACCTACAGAACATCCCCAGAAGCCAAACTTACATATATTTATATAAAAGAGAAGAGGAAGTTCAAGACAGGAAGGAAAATATACATTTCAAACATCTTATTGTGCAGTAGAAACAGTAAATGCATCTTACGTAGCCATTTCAATACCACATATAATCAAAAGCCAAACTGCAGAAGGGAATATTTTTTCAAAAAAGAAAAATATTGGCTGGAAAGGCAGAAAGTCTAAAAACTCTGAACAAAGATTTTTAATTCAAATCAGCAGTGGTCTGTAAATGTGAAAACAGATTTGAGTTTGACACCAAAAGAGTCACTCACGTGGCTGCTCAGGGTTTGTGTTAGCTGAAGGAGACTGGAGAAAGTACTACTTGCATATTTGCTTATTCCACTGTCAAGCCATTTAGACCCATCCCAATCCCCCAAACCCTCCATTATCTGCACTCCCCTCCCTCCTCAAACCTCATCTCAGTTTGTCACCTCTCTCCCATCCAACCCCCATCAGTCCTCCTAGGATAAATAAATAGTGCACAAAGAGCAGAGGTGGAGACTGCCCAAACTCACAGGTGGGGAAGGAGCTGGCAGATTTTTCAGTGGTTCACTCCCCAAATCTGTCTGAAAGAGCAGTGCTGAATTACAAAGTGGAGAGAGGCTGAGTGAGCTTTCCCACTCTCCTCCACAAAGCCTGGACAGAACGGGCTGTTCCAGAAATCCAACTGCCAGGTTTCTTCCCAAATGCCTGAGCCTCCTTCCGTCTCCTGTTTAAGTGTTTTGTATCGGATCAAAAGCTCTTTAGAATGGCTCTTTAGAATGGATTTTGGAAACTAGACACAAAGCACGTTGCTGTTCTCTAGACACACAGAAGTTTTGCAGAGGGATCACTAAAATCATATTTTTTCAACTCCACAAGCATGACTTCTCATATTTTTTTTCTTATCTAAGAACTAGCATTTGTGGTAAGCACACAAGTGCTAAGAAGCAAGGCAGCACAGAATAAGCATCATGACATTAACCTTAGAGCCAATGCAAGCCTGTAAAGGTGGGAAGAGAGTTGGGGGGGTGTAGCTCCAAAAAGAGATAAGAAAAGCTGAAGTCAAGAAGTTGGGGAGGTTAAAGTGTTATGGAGCTCCAGTGATATCAGGAGGAACACAAGAAATTACGTAATTTAAGAGTGTATTAGTCAGACAGATAGAAAGAATCCCATTCTGATGCAGACAGCACTTGCTTTCCAATCCCATAATGCCATTATCAGAGACAACTGCTTTATCAGAAAGAAGAGAACTCCACTGAAGACCACGGTACACAGAGGAATCCCAGATGTTCTCTCAGTCTACTTGGCAACAAACATACTTCAGTAAGGAAGAGCTTCTTGCTTTTCTTTATTCTGTATTCTGTACAAGAACCTTTGCACTCACTGAAATTGTACTCTATTTATTTTTAGTTTAAAATAAAAACAACCTTGGATGTACAGAACCCAAAGCTGAAACAGGTAAATGGTCACGGATAAAAATCCACGTCTGCATATCCTACCAGTGCATTTCTGATTTGCAAAACTTCCTGAGTATCTTAAAAAAGATAGAAACAAGCAAGGTAATTAACATCTATTAGGCATCAGCAGGTTGCAGAGACATGGTTTTGAAAATGAACAGGAAAAATGGAAGATTTACATTTTTCTTCCCTACTTCCCCTCTCCTTACACGCACCCATGTTTCGGTCAGGACACATGAGGAAAGCTGTACTGATTGCAGACATCTGGCAGCTACAAATGGTCAGGATTTATCAGCAGTGGGGCTACTTCAACCAACACTTCAGTTCAGAGGGATTTCAAAGACTTCACCAAGCAAAGATCAGCTGTTAGTCTTGTTGTTGCCTTTGCCAATGTGCTCTACTAATACCATATGGAAATGCCAAAAAACGGATTAAAATGAAGCAGAAATATTGATCTCAGAATATTTCAGAAGAATTTATCTTTTTAAAACATTCAAAATCACTTTGCCTATGACTACATCCTATTGCCTATGACTACCTATGTAAAGCTGATGATTTCAAACTTTATATTTGAAACACCTTTTAATAATGTGCTCTGTGCTACTGAGCTGTATGAACAGGTATTCAGGCATCAATAGCAAATTCCAGGTAAGGAGATACACAATTTTTACCACCTTTACATTGTACAGAAAAAAAAAATATTTCTTATTATTTACTACTCAGTAGATAGAACTTTTATCTTCAGCAAGTCCAATCCACCAGCTCTCAGAGCAAGACATAAGTGATATTTTACAGTGAAAGCCTGCACAGTAAGAGGAAGGATGAAAAGTATTACTGTATTAGAAGTCTAACGCTTGAATACCGAAAACTAAAGAGTCAAAAATAGAAGTACAGGCAGGGTCCCAGAATCAAGCCACGCTCTTGAGGGGTTCTGAATACCAACCTCATTCTCCCTCCATCAAACAACCTCCTACACTATAACTTCATTGAAAGTGTTAAGAGTTTTTCCGGTCCCATACTCTAATTTTTGACTCAAGATAAAAATCACTGGTCAAAGTGAGAAAGGAATGAAGACCTGTGCCACAGTGGCCTTCACCAAGGCAGCCAGAAGATTTATTTGGACAAGAAAGAACACCAGAGAGGTAACTTGTACTTCAGACTCTCGAAGGCAAGGAGAACACATTGGTCTGTGTAACCTCTGTATATGGAGGAATCTTTCAGGGGGGTCACGGCAGGTAGCAAATTTTAGAAGGTCTTCATATCATTATGATACAGAATATATAATCCCAAAATGTTTAATGGGGTCATAATGCATCCTGCCAACATCTACTAGTGCTTTCTGCTAGCAGCACTCCAATATCCTTCTAGATAGGACACATGCTGCACTGACTGAGAGTCTATTTACTGAATTAGTAATTACCACATCCTACAGCACCTGAGTTTTCCTTGGAGGTCTCCCAGCCAAGTACTGACCATACCCTGCCTTGCTTACCTAGTGAAATCTGACATGTTCTTGGCCAGCAGCAGAGCAGCGTTGGCTGTATGTCTAGAAATATTCAACCTGCACAGAGACCAGTGCCAGAAAAGATTTCTAAATAATCTGGCAATTCCACTTCACCCATTACTGGTTCCTTATTGCGCTCTTATTACGCAAAGAGAAACTACACCCGGCTGCCTGGGTTATTTCTGTGTGGCAGCTGCACAGGGGAGAAAATTCAGCCCACCGAGCACAGGGCGCTTCTCAAAGTCTGGCTCTCGGTTCATAAGTTTACAGAGGCTCCCATATCAGATATCCTATTTTCAAGCTGCTCTCTGCAGAAAACAAGAGCATTTAGCTGCCAGAAAAAAAAAAAATATATGCAAAAGAAATAAAATTATAATAAAACAGAAGAAAGCCCCCACCCCTGAGGAGCAGCTCAGCAGTGAATGAAAGAGATTTGCAAGCTGTTTTACATGCTTTTGTTGTGTTTCCTTACTCTGTTGTCATTGGTTGTTTCGTTGTTTGCAAGGCTGAAACAGAGGGGAAAAAGCTGCATGTCAAGTACTGAAATTTGCCTTTGAAGGTCCCTTTTTCAGATGGAAAAAGGAGCTTCAGACAGAGCTTCCGAACCCCACTTCGACCTTCAAAGTTTGACTAATCCTTTGTCAGAGTGGCATTTGCCACTTAAGGCATAAAGCCCTTTTAACACTCGGCTCAGGAGCCTGTTTTCATACCTCTTAAATCAGATCCGCAGCAGACTCATTCAGCGTCGAAGTGTGGGAAGGGGTTGTTTTGTTTGTGCTTTTCTTTGCCTGCAAGGGGAGCTCAGTTCAGTGTTCTGCTGAAAGACACAACGCTGGTAAAGCAGAATCCAACATGCCATGTGCTTTAGGGAAACCCAAAGAGCGTTTTGGGTCAGAAAATCAGGCACGCGGGACGAAGGCAAGCAAGCGTGTTTGCAGGTGCTCCCCACTGCAGACTCGTCATGAGGCAATTCGGGTGCTAAAATCCGAGCTGGCACACTGCAGACCTGCTGTAGAGCCTACAGCCTTGACGATTTTAGCATCTCACCAACCCAACTACGGAAGCCACGCATTTACACATAATACAAATGAGAATGCAAATGATCCTATTCAGAAGGCTCCTTATGCTAGAGGTAGTTGAATAACTTACAAATGAATGCCACAAAGAGAGACAGTGAAACGTCCTGATTATTGAGTAAAACAAGGCAACCAGATAGCTTTTTTTGCAAATTAAGCATATGCTAGCCAGAAAAAGCACGGCCTGTTCCTCCCCTATCAGACTGAAATCTATGCAAAAAGTGAGGAAGATTTTTACAAGTGGACAACAAAAGCAAGGAAGATGTGCTGGTTCCCAAAGGATTTCCTTCGGGTCAGAAGTCAAAATGGAGTTCAGGTTTAACAGGAAATTTTTGTCCTCAAAACAAACCATTACCATATTTTCGGATGAAAACAACAAACCTGAACCTTTACCCACAGCTGAAACCAAACCTGGACTCGATCTTTGATGAAATTTGAAGTCAAGTCAAAGCCATGCACTGTGCAGTAAGGGAAGATGGAAAACCAAACTGAGTAGCCCTGAAGCTACCAGTAGAACGAGTTGCTGGTTCTGCATTCGCATGCCCCACTGCAGCTCCAAGCTGCATCCATGCTTTTCTGTCATCTTGATTTGCAGCAACGCCATCCATTTACCGAGCTGGTGAAATGAAGAAACATCTCTACAGTAGTCATCTCCCAAATAAAAATACTGAGGCTGAGAAAAATCCATACCTTTTGATGGAAGATCCATATAAAATCATTTTACACAGTCCAAGAACTGACAGCATCACAAGCGTCTCCTCTTAAGTACCAACGTTGAAGCAGCAATCAAGGGACATTTTAAGAGTGGACAAAGCCTCTTTTGTTTTCAGTCAGTGGTTACAGGTGGCAGCCTTAACGATAATGACCAAATTGGGCTCTCCTGCTAACACCACTGGCTTCTGGAAGTTTTTCTTCCCTCCACATATCCTCATAAGCAAAACTTTTTTTTCTAAGAGGAAACTCTTTTGCATTCCATTAAATGCAGCAGAGTCTGTAACACAACCAACTAATGGCTTCAGTGTTTACAATACTAACAATTTCCCAAAGCTAAAGCAGTAAATGCAGGGTTCTGTCCCCCACTCTGTTCTGAAGAAACAAACTGACTGCTGATCTTTCACATCTGCTTGGGAATAGAGGGAAGAACAGGGCAGCAACAGCCTACTGACTACGTACAGGAGAAGCAGAAGAACTATATAAATATCTGTCCATCACTCCAGTGATCCGTTCAGAATTCACCCACTACAGACAAACAATCCAATGGTGAACAGATATTCTGAGTTTCCCATCTGCCTGCAGGCAATATGAGAAGAATAACGATGGTGTTAAAGAAAAAGTTTTAGAAAAACTTCTTATGCTGTCAGAATAGAAGTTCAGTACTGGGAATCTGTTCTGCAGTTCCTAGAATTCTTAGTCCTGCCCTCACTCACAGGTCTTACAGAGTGAGTAAAACCTTTACCAAGTTTTTCCACAGATCTCCTGGAACACCAATCTAGAAAGAAGAAAAGCTTGGGTATGGTTTGCCAACTATATTTCACTAAGTGTTAGATTTGTGGATACTTGCAAAAAACTCAGATGTTTTCAGGTACTGAACACCAAGGAATTTTATTCCAAATATATTATCAATCTAAACTGAAGATACAGGAAAAATCTTCAGTGGCTACTTAACAGCATGTCAATTAGTAGAAATCTTGGTATTGCCATCTTCTCTCACAACCCAGCACTGAACCAAGCTGCTGCTGTTACTTGGCTGCTGATGGATGCCCTTCAATAAGGATGGGCAGAAGAACAGCCTTCTCATCAGAGCACACAGCAAGGCTAGATCAAAGTACACATTTTTCAACAAATCACTTACAAGACCCTTTGTAATACATCAGAGACAGATAAATTATGTATAGATAGGTCTTGTGAAGCTTAATTTGTGAAAGGTCTTAACTCTATGGCAGAATTAAACCAATCTTAATTAAATTCTTAGAAAAAAAAATAGGAAGTTTTCGTGGCAACTTTTAAGAGGGTTTCCAAAAGCAGGTCTGTAACAAGCAAGTGAATATTATTAATGACCTTAATAATCCTTCTTTTTCCTCAGTGTCATTTTATATTTCTTTTTCGGATTATAAAAAAATTAAGCTGGCATTTAAGCTCCACAGACCTAAAAATAGCGATCTAACACCCCATTAAAATTATTACAAGAACAAGTAACATTTGATACTCTGACAGTGGTTTTCCAAAGTACATCTTACTAATGCCACTGCAGTGTCTGATGTTTCTGAATGGCTGCTCTGTGATTCTGCTTTGTGGCTAATTGGTCTTAACTGTCCTGTTGATGCTGTTTGCTTACTTGTGGTCACAAACTAGGAAGTCTGAGACTCAGAGAGCAAGTGTTCATAAATGTAAGACTATAAACTTCAGAGCTTAACAAGTATGGCCAAGAGGATCGCTTCTCTTTAGTCTGTATTCTTTCCATGATGTCAGTGAAATTGGAAGCATTGCTGGATTCAAATATCAGCTTCTAAAGCCCTCCACCAGGTCACACCTTTCCATCAGATGTCCTGAAGCTCATCCTTCAATTCATGAATACAGTCACCTGAATCCCACACAGCAGAGCTGCAGTGCATTAGCTCTGAGTTCCCACTGATGTACTGATATCAAGTCTCACCCTTCAGTCCATTTATTTTCTGCACTCCCTTTCTATTCCGTAAGATTGAAGTATCTCATCAGAAGACAGATTGAAAAGAGGTATGTAGGGGTAAATGTGTAGGAGCATATATGCTCATCTTAAGTGTACACAGTTCTGATCTACTCTAAGGATGTGCCTCACTGTTTACCTGTCCATTACTGACTTGTAAGAACACTTTTAAACCAGGCTGGTATTGTCTATCTAAATATACATCTATATACACATACAGCAGAAAGTAACAAGTCAACACATGTGCAAGAACAGGAAAAAAGTTATTCTTCATACTGTGAAAGGAAAATGCAACAATAATTTCTGGAGCGACACACAAGCGTGCCAGCATATGCTAATATAACTGCAGTTGTACACAGGTACCTGGATACCTTCTAGAACATACAAATATTAACAACAAAAAAAAAGGGAAATGATCTGTGCTTACAACATTCCTTCACTGTCTTTCTTTTACCCTTTTGACATGCACAGTCTGGCTAAAATGACACTAAAACTCTGTGACTTTTGTGTTTCTGAGGTACACGGTGAGGTCTGGAAGCAAGAAGACTGAACCCACAGAAGTTTTACTGGCAACATTAATCCATAAATGATGTCAAGAAAAAAATACAGAAAAGCCAAATTTCTCTCACTCTTACCTCTCAGTCTAAGAAGGATCTGTCAGCAATTGCTAATAATCCAAAGCAGTATTACATAAACATCACAGAAGTACGAAACAGGATAAACATAAGGGCAGAGAGTCTCCAAACCACTTAATTAATTTTGGTGCGCTGTTGCAATAGGTGAATCTAATCTAAGGCTTCACAGTGACTTTGAAAACCTCAGCCAAAAAGATAGGACAATTTATGTTATTTTTAAAGGACCATGGATATGTTTACTGACCAATGAAATCTAATCTTCCAAGCCTTCTTACATAGGCAAAAAAACAAATAGGTATTATGCAGACATCTGTGTATGAGAGAGACAAAGACTTTATAAACAGTCATTCAACCAACTGCAGACTCGAGAAAAAGTGTGAAGGGAGGCTGAGCCAGGAAATGTTCGTAACAGACATAACAAGAGATCCTTGGGGCATCTCTAAAAATGAGAATGCACTCCAGTTCACAGTGGGCACTCAGCACCAGGTAGAAAAAAGCTCTTTAATAGAAACATTTCAGTCTTGTGTATCCATTTGGAGAAACTGGACTGAAACTGTGTACAAATATAAACCAGGAGGCCTGATTTAACACAGCCAGCATGTTAATGTAGTACCATTTGCAGTAAACTGGCACTTGGTTTTAATTCTGCAAGATATAATGGGGTCCCACAGTAAGCCACAGTATTCCCCGTTAACAAAAATGCCACATTTCTCAGTTCTGCACAGACATACAGAAGAAGCAGATCATACCACAACTGTGGTTTGAACAGCTCTGCAGAGCAAAGCAGCAAAAAGAAAGGGGACAGCTGAAGTGTTAGTCTCATCCTTCAACTTTAGGGGCTTGGATTTGTTTCATGTTGAGTAGTATGGTCTGAAATAAATTCAGTGGCTTCAATTTCATTCCTGCAGGGATTTACCCACTTTATCAGAACAAGCATAGTTGGTTTCTTTCAGTTCAAGAGTGGAATAGCAAATACTGCTGATTTCACTGGCTGCTAAGGACTGACACGGGAGCTTCATGGTGTTCCTTGTTTCAGATACCCCCAAGATTGTTTTTCCTGTTTCAAAGAAGCTGCACAAACTGAGCTGCAGGATTGGTCAAACCTGGAATAGTAGGGATTCTGCAAAGCATCACTATCTGTAAGAAAGAACTGAGCAGATAGCGAGCAGATAAGGAAAACAACAGAACACAAGCTCTGGAGGTTACATCCAAAGTGGATGGTTAAATAAGAATTTGGAAGCAAGTATCAAAGTTTAAGTAAAAGGAGCAAATAAGGGTAGGGTTAAGAGAGATACCTGAAGAGCTGTAAACATACCCAGTTGGTGGTTTGAGGGCCCAAGTGCATCTCTAATGAAACAGATGAAAACTGTCTATACAGTAGGTCCTTCAGGCTCCTCTGCATCAGGCAGTTCCAGCAGATGATCGCCAGCAGGCACACAGGTGCTAGGCCAGCAATGCCACTGCTGTGACCCAGCAGTGCCAGGTGAGAGGCTCCCCTCAAGACAACTGCACAAGAAGCCTCTGTGAATCCTGACTTCGCTCCCTGGAACAAAACAATTTGTGAGGCATCATTTAGTATTACAGAGAATCACAACTGAAAATTCCATTTCCTTTCAGGGAGTGCATAAAATTCACAAAGCAACTCATCAATTCCCAGGCAGAGGAAAAACTATTTTAACTTTGCATTTACAAACTATGCATGATTTGAATGTGAAGAAATGACCAGGAATTCTTTTGCCTGTAGCACAGTTAGTTTCCCCCATACAGACATAAATGATGCTCATCAATAGAAATGTGATATTTCTGAATATAAAAAAAACCCATAAACTGCGCTTACTAGGTCTCCTCTAGTTCCCATTTAATTTCTTTTGTCTAATGTAAACTCACTGGGCTATGACTAACAGCTAACATATAATTTCTAATTGTATGGCATTATGTTATGTTAGTACAAAAACATTATCAGAGCCAAGACAGACAGAAGCATATAGTTCAGTCTTACTGGGAGTAGACAGGAATGGAAAAATACCACCAGCATCATTTGTCAAGGAAGCAGATTAAAATTCAGCTCTAATGGGAAAAAAAATCCCCACATTTCACTTTCCTACTTTTTAAATGACATAACTGTTACATAAACAAACCAAAATATGTTCACCTTTACAAGGGCTTATGGAAAAATGAACTGGATGATACAGGACATTACTATTTTATTCTTTGGAAGATGATCTGTACATTTCTACAGAAACAGCCTCAAGCTTTACAGAGATATAAAGCCTGCAGCTACACGATTAGCCATAGAATCCAACCTTGTTGCAGAATTATGGTCAGATTTACATTTGAAAGAATTATGAGACAGAGACTTGCAAAAAAAAAAAAAAAAAAAAAAAAAAGAAGAAGAAAAACCTGATTTACACCCTGTAGAGATCTCCCTCCCTGGGGAATAAACCAAGGGAATGTAAATCAAGGGTAATGCCAATGGAAGCATACTCCTGAACCTGCAGACAGTCTGTAACAACAGCTGCAAGATCTGCGCTCAGGCGGCGCCCTCTCAATGTGCTCCTCATGAAGATCACCTCACATTCACATGCATACGTTTTTCTTCTCACACAGTGCATCGGTCCCGTTTATTGCAGGCTCATCAGGACAACATCTGTACCTTGCTTTGTGTTTGTTTAGTGGGTAATATGTACTTGTCTCTTGTAAAAGTTCTTGTCTCAG